TGAACACTGCATTTTCCTTCTCCCAAACTACATTACTTTGACTTTGTTGAAATTTATAGGATGGTAGTTCATTCAGTTAACGAATTAAACTTGTTTTCATTTGATCGTCGAGAGATGATTGAAATCATACCATCCAACTGAAACATATTTTACATTCCTAGCGAACTTTTCAGATCCAAAATTGTCCTCTGCTAATTTCAGAAGTGAAGCTCGTATAACGTATTACATAAGTTATAATCTATAACGTTTGCTATTATACCCAGTTTCAGGTAACTCCGGTAAGTTCTGTCAACGTCTAGTATTCTGTATCGTGTTTCGAGCGGCGATATTCCAGCTATTCCAAACTCAAAGTATCACGAGATCACGAAACACAAAGTTAAAGGCGTGTACGAGCGACTCGGAAATACGAAACACAAATAGACTGCGCGAAGCGCTGTGTGCAGATTTAAAAGTTCTACCTAAGTCGCGGTTACACGGATGAAGACGAAAAAAAAAGGAAGTAAAGTCAATATACACGGTGGATTGGAAAAGTTCCAGGCCTCAATTTATTCAGATATATCAGTTGCATAATCTTCCTTTTGCTGGTTCGTCTAATTAGTGCAGACCTTTTCCTATCTCCGATGTGAAATTCAATCGATTTTCGTGAAATCGTTTGTCTACATCGCTTCAAAAAAGTATGTTTTATTAAGATGATCGTGATTTTTTAATTTACAAGCAACCTTCAGTATGTCAAAGTCTCAACAATAATAAATACTTTACGTGTAAGATTCGATTATATTTCGTGTCAGTCTTGGAATTTTTTAAATTTATTGACTAACACGTATCTAAAAGTGGAAAATGCTTTCGTTAAAGTAGAGGCAAATGCTGTAATAAAATTCGTGATCATAAGAAATATTAATATGAAAATCAATATATCTGTTCTTTCATAAGGTACCGAATAACACCAATACGAAAAAGGATTCAATTATCTCCAATCGTTGAGGGAACTGTCATCGTAATTTCTGTCGTTGGTTTTCGTTGTCTGATGTACTAAAAATTGTTACAATGTTTCATTATGATTTTGAAATATCTTTAGAATTTCGCGACAGTGTGTTATGTTGTATTTGGTAAAGAAACAACAACGCTCATCATTCTATCGAGAAATTTTATGACCTGAAATTGTATTCTTCCATCATATTTGCATAATACATATGCAATACAATTTGAAATTGTCACGGAACATAAATTCTTTCGACCAAGGTTAATGAAATCTTTGAGAATTCTATTACCACACTTCGGATATACAAAATATTAGAACAGTATGATAATAACGTAATAAACTCAGTATGACAAAGGAGCAATTATTGTTGTAACCAAAAACTGATTGAACATCGTACGAATTTCTAAGAGATCCTCCTAGTCTTTCGATAGCCCCTTTCATTTCTGAAATGACATTTCAGAGTAGTTCCAACCGAGGAACTTAGGTTTCTCCATCGAAGTCTGCCGGAAACGCAACGACGTCCGAAGAATACTGATGTCCTTTCGCATCATGGTCTATAGAGTGAAATGCTCGTGGCAAAGTTAACTATTTGATAGTTACACATGAAATGGCGGTTTTCACAATTCAAACTTCTCCCCTTTATAGTTTAGTTCTTTCGCCGCAGACGCCGTTGTGCACGCATAATTTGAATAATGAATGTCCAGTACCTGTCTTAGCGTGCATACATTTATGAATATTGTACAATGTACAGTGAAATACTCCGCATTTGTCCTTCAGCTTGTAAACATAAATGAACAATTTGAGAAGCGGAGATAAGATTTTTCGAGCGTTGCGCCTCGTTATTATAGTTGCCGATTGTCAACAACTATAAAAACGAACTGCGAGGCTCGAATAATCATATTTATCTTTGATATTTATATTAACATTCCAAATTGTCCATTTATGTTTACAAGCTGAAGGACGATTGCAGAGAATTTACTATACGTGTAATTGAAAATCATTTTTATTAAAGATGGAAGCAAAAGAAATCCGCATAATTTTACTTGTACAAGGTCAAAACTCGAAAATAGTGCGAGTGAGACAAATCGGAGCATAAATAGCGCTTTTCGCGAAGGTACTGTAACTGATCGAAATCACCAGCGCTGGTTGAAAATTTTCGTTCCGGTGATAGAAACCGCGAAAATGTGCCTCGAGAATAGCATTGTAAAGGATATGGTTGAAGTATATTCATGCTTAACCGTTCGGAAAATCGCGGGAGGACGAATGTTCATTATTCAAACGTTCCACGGCATCCAAAAGCGTTGGGAAAAGTGAGGAAGTTCGATAGGCGGGTCCCAAACGAACTCACCGAGAAAGAAAGGGTTCGTCAGAATTCGTAAAAAAAATTGTTATAAAGTTAACAGTACCGAAGTGCGAAATTGTTGCTCGACCTCCTTGTTCCCACGATCATTCGCCTACTGACGACGATATTTTCAAGCATCTAGATCATTTCTCATCCGAGAAACTGTTTCGAGAAATTGTTGGAAAAAAAGCGTTTAAACTTTAACTACCATTGCGATATCGTTACTAATTACTATTCATTCCGATTCATAATTTTTATTCAAAATCTGTAGCAAAAATTGTAAGAAAAAAATATTTTTAATACACTTGCTTCTAGTCACAATCTCTTCATTATTGAGCAATAACAGTGGTTACGTAAGTCTTAATAAGTATCGTGATTGGAGGTTAATGAATTTATTGTCTCTCGTTCCTCCGATTTTTTTCAAAAGACATTGATGCCCTTGTTTCTCTCTGCGAAGAGTGTATTAAAGGAGATCGTTTTGATCAATGGAATAATTATTGAGTTTGTTCAATAAAAGTTGAACTGATAAATACAAAAACCGACATTTCATTTGCAACAATCTAATACAGAAGAATCTCGTCTACTGTAATCGTCGCGATCCATCGACAAGATCGCTCGAATGGACGAATCGACTGTGAAAAAATGAGAAATGCTCGGTAGCTCCGACGTATCGCGAGATAAAGTAACTTTGGGTTTTTCCATGATTTTCGTACCCATGCGGTCCCTATCACTGAATTCCAACCGTCCCGTTGCGCGATTAACGCGGTTTCGATAGGTTTTTCGACGAGCGGATCGCGAACATGCCGCTCGTGCGCTTTCTGAAACGCGGAAACGATGAAATCCATAGGGAACTTAGCACCGCCGTTGATTTAATCTCATTAGACTTTATGATCTTATCAAGGCGATTGGAAATGACAGGCTTTGTAACTGCGACCGTTACATCACAATCTCCGCGACGCTTCCTAGATCCGTTACAATCAATTCTATTCGAATCGCCTACCTCGAATAGTTTTGTCTCATTTTCTTTAATTCGATGCGCAAGGATAGCCCCACAATCTGTGCGCGCTTACGCGATCGCGCGAGCACGCATGTAAACAGTTCGAGTGGAATGGTTTCACCAGTCGGCCGGACTCGCGGACAGCTTCCGTCCTATTGCTTTAAATGTATCACAAATCGATCGCCGATCTATTACACATTCCTCGAGCACAGCGAATTAACGATCGATGCTTGCCGCGTTCTCGTTATTTCATTACTGCGAGCGGATCTTTACGGATAATGCTATTTTCGATCTGATTCACTATTCAAAGGAGATAATTGGAGGAAAAGAATTAAGCTTGATTCTTAATCAGATAAATGTTCGCAATTCTTCTGAACCCGGTACAGTGCCGCGGAAACGCAAAAAGTGAAATCCAATCTTGCGATCGCAATCGACATTTGTAATCACATGTTAATTCTTATCGCCGTTCATTTATCTCAAATTACGATTCCCGATTACAAGATACCGCGTCACATGTCAGCTGCTTTAGGGATTCACATGCATCGCATCGTTAAAGGAAGAGGTGGATTAAAACTGTAAATCACGGTTCTATAAAATTTATGGTGGCTACTATTAATTTTAATAAATTAAGCCGGATGAAACAGTATATCTAAATTCTTTCGATGTTTTCACTGATTTATATCTTGTGCATTTATTACGGTTGTAAATGCATTTAGCTTATTTGTCACATTCCGTAGAAACGAAAACTCTGATCGATTTTTCTCGAACATTTTTCTGTTGTATAAAATATGATCAACGTTACGAATGAATTATATCCGCAACTAAACGTTGTTCTGTTTCTATAGATTGTTAAATGATTCCATTCTGATTGTTACCTTCGATAGAAGCAATATTAAAAGGCAAACACAATTGTCGAATACACCTTTGCCTGAAAATTTTGTCCATTCTCATCGGTAGATATGCATAAACGACGAATAATTAAAAGCTGCATCGTATATTGCATACATTTTTGTAGTATTCACAATGAACCAACAGATATTATTTATTCATATACCATAAACGCAGCCGGTTGTTATTATTACACTATTGTTATATACCTAATCATAGCTGATACAATATATTCGGTGAAAATTGTAGTTATTAATCGAATTATTTAAAGTCATAACTTCGTTACTAGCAATATCAAAGGAAACAGATGAATGATTCAAACATCCCATAAGACACTCTTTTTAAAAGCGCAATGGTGCATCTGCGATCCATAATTGCATTTTCTTTTTAACACTAGAACTACCAAATCAGTCGAAATAACTGGATCTTCATTTATACTTTCACAATTCCTCATATTCTCATTCAAGCTTATATTATAATAGAAATCGTACGTAGTGAAAAGAAATCTAATCTTATCGTTGTTGTAAAACGATATACATTAGATGCGTTTAAGACTCAGTAGTTGTAGTGTTAATAGAAATGTGTACATCCCGCTCGTTATTCTATATGACAAAGTCAAAAATCATTAGTTATCGAGATATTCAAATAAAATATCTTTATTGAAGAAAATGCATACACGATTTGACAACGTTCTTCAACTATTTTTATACCTGATTTAAGGTGATTCAAGTTGAGTTAAGACGAAAATAATCGATAGAAAAAAAATTGAATATTTTTAGTTTCTACACAGCGTTTACTAAGAAAGTATGTAACATTTTTCAAAGATATGAATCATTGTGGAGATTGACTTCTGTGTACAAAGTTTCACTTTTTGTTGTACGTCCTTTCGATATAAAATTTTTTTTCCTTTAACGCAATCACTTCGTAAATAAATATTCCTCAAGATTTTCATGATAAAGCCCACCATCCAAGTTCGATTTTCTTAACTCCATTTTTTTGTGAGAATAAATTGCAAAAGACGACTCAACCATTTTACCACTGATTGAAAAAGTTGCACACAAATGATAAGTGTCTTGATCCTTCGGTGCTAAATTACACTAAGCCGAACGCTTTCGTTTGATACTGAAAGGATTAAGCAGCAAATGAAACTTCGCATGATTTCTCGCGCAACTATAGCCAGCGATTCAGAAACTATCAGTGAAAGAATCGAGTACACCCAGTCGATGCTTATCAGACGTTCGCGATTATCTTACCGTTCGAGCTCCTCCGAGTATTCGATCTTATCCCTGATGGAGCTGGTCAGACTGTACGCCGACTTCTTCCTGTTCCCATTGATCCTACCGTGCTCGAGATCGAACTTGTGCTGCGGTATGTTCTCGTTGCTGCTGTAATTGCTGCCGCCGTGGGCCAGTATCGATTTCCCGCGGCCTTGATCGGAGTTATGCTCGGAGCTGGCGCTAATGCGCCGATGATGATCGAACGTCGGATTATCCACCCCAAGGATCTGGTCGCTAATGGAGACACGTCTTTTCGCTAATTCCTCGGTCGATTTGTTTGCTCTCCCGCTCATATCGATTTCCATATCGAGCTAGCTCGCGTTTGCCGGGTCGACGTTAACCGCGAGAACACAGCCGGCGGAAGTGCAACAGCGATCAGTCCCAATCTGGCTGGCTCGTTACTGCATCGCGAAGCAATGCCGAGCGGTTAATCACAGTGAATCGCGGCTGGATTCGCATGCACACAAGAAATTCGGTAATCGCGTGGACCGGGACTGAATCTCTGGTACACGGGGTCGCTCCATGCAGTCGAGGAGGGAAACGGTTCACTGAAAACACCGGGAGAAGTCCAAGAGCCTCGAAGTCCAAGTCCAAGTCCCTTTTGGAAACAGGGAGCGAATGCGATCGCGGACCGATCGTGGTAGCTGGTAACCGTCGATTGACTGGCAATGGCAATGCGTGCCGGGCCCGGTTCACAATTGTCGGGGGACGGCTCCCTGCCGATCGTTGACAGTGCGGTCGCGTGACGGTGACTCTGAGAAAGTCCAAACACGATGATCCCCGATCGTCGATTAACGATCACGAGGTTGCTGATAGCCGGCCGGCGATCGTTAACAGTGTCGCGTGACACTTTGTTTTCCTTCGGGAGAGAGAGACCCGGGGCTCGCTAACACCTTATGCCGATATCTTGACGGTTGCGCGGCTGACGTCTTTGACACCTTGACCCGCTTTAACCACGACGGTCCTCTCCACCGACGCGCGCGAGCTTTGTTCACCTAGTTAACGGCCGGTATTCAAGGCCGACGCGGTCGTTTCTAACTCGCTTCCCTTTGTTAGTATGCGACGTCTTTGGCGGACGACGACGTCTGCTGGGAGAGGTGTCGCTCCGGCAATCCGTCGCGCGGTCAATCGATTACGCGTCCATGACTCGGCCAACTCGTTTCACCGAACTCGCCGTGTCCGATCCGATTCGGTTCGAGCCCGAGCATCCCGAGTGTTACCCGATCGAGGCTCGCCGTTTCGAGGGGACTCGATGCAGGTTCACCGGGTCATCGATTCCTCGAACGGCGACTCCCGACACCCACATCGGGATCACGGAGGCGCGGATCAACGAATGGAGGAACGGGATCGTTCGTTCGTTCGTTCGTTCGGTCGGCGGCGGACACGAACGCAGGAAACGAACGCTGTCAAACGAGCACAGTTTAACCAGAGACTAAACGCTGCAAACCGTGCACCGCTCTGCTATGTTTATGCGAATGGTGGGGCTGGTAAAAACTGCTGGGCAAGGAGGGACTGTTACGGCCGCGGTAATAATTGTTACCGCGTTGCACAGGATGGGCACAGCTGGACACTCCATTGACAGTCTAATCGGGCCTAACCCACCGACCTGGCGTGCCCCTGATCGTCTCGGGCTGTAGGTCAACGCGTTCACTTAGCTCGGACTAGCCGAATTAGGAATTTCAGTTGTCACGATTCATTTCACTTCGGTGTCTTTTGCTTCTTTCGTGTTGCACGAACTCTGTCACCGACCGCTGTTCATCAAGATTCCGGAGTACGCTGAACGGGTTAGAGTGGTTTCAGAGTATTTTGAATGAGCTAACGTAGTTCCAGAACTTAATTCGAAATCAATTATACATGATAAGTAAATCATGATTCTTTACGCGGAATAAATTTCAATGTGCTCGGTTAGTTTAAATTAGCTGGGTTTTAGCTGCAGCGATTCTTTTTTCTTCAGTGTCTTTTGCTAATTTCGTGCTAGACGATCTCGATTCGGTCTTTCTCATTTGTCCAGTGTAATGCAAATTTTCAGAGTACAGTGAATTCTCTCTAATTGTTCCACAGCTTGTAGATAAAAATGGACAATTTGGGAAGAGGAGTTATGATTATACGACCCTTGCGGCTCGTTTTTACGGTCGCCGATTGTCAACAACTATTAAATCGAGCCGCGAGGCTCGAATAATCGTATCCCCTGTTCCCAAATTGTCCATTTTTGATTACAAGCTGGGGGACAATTGGAGAAAATTCACCGTATTCTGGACGAGGTAAAGATGTTTTAGTACTTAGATCTGAATAAACTATGCATAATAAATGTGAACTGCGGTGCTTTGCGCAAAAGACAGGTCGAAGTGTTTGTCCGGCATAACAAAGGTATCACAAGAACGACGAAGGGCAACAGACTAACCGAATTACGAGGTTTAGCTGTTACAATCCTTTTTTCTTTGGCGTCGCTTGCTTGTTTCATATAGGATGATTACTATTCTAATTCTCCGCGTCTGTCGGCTGTTCGACAAATTTTTCAAGTATGCCGAACGAACTGAAATTATTTTAAGACTTAAGACTAAAAAAGCAATCTCGTCTTTTCAATGGAAAACAATAGATCAGGGCATAAAAACGGTAAGGAACGATGTCTCTCTCGAAATATTAGAGATCAGACTTATTAAAAGCACGATTCATCTTCTTGGATGTTGGATGATCTCTGTTTTAATTTCGCGCGTTTTTCGACTGCTAATGAAATCGTTAGGACGTTCTAGACCGGTTAAAATTACTTTGGGAATTAGTATTACTATTAGTATATATTAGTATATATTAATTATATATATATTAGTTAATTAATTATATATATATATATATATATATATATATATATATATATATTAATTATCTATATTAGTATATATTAAAATTACTTTGGGAATTATTATATTACAGGTAACTTAAATTAATTTTCGCACCGAAAACGACGATCGCCCTAGAATCACTGTTCACTTTTCTTCCGCATTCTTTGCTCTCAATTTCTATTTTAATATCACGGTTTCCGACTGTCAATCAAATTTACGAGATCTTGTAACACCATCTAACGTTACTTTAGCAACTAGGTCTAACAAGGAAACATTAGGTAGATCGAATTAAACGAAGTAACTGTTGTAATACTGTGAGTTCTGTCTTTTTCGGTTTGTGAGTTAAAGAAATAAAGTTGTGATCGACACGGATGTGGTTGATCAGTTAACTGTAATAAACGTTATCGAAAATAGTGTCTTAAAATGAGGTAAAAATTATTTTTGAAACTTTTTTCTAAATTGCGTTATCATTAATTGATTTGCTTTAATTATGGAATATTAATGGAAATATTATTTGAAGTACTTATTTGATTCAAGTGTAAAAGTTACATAATACGTATTTATATATACATGTTTAAATATATGTATGATCATGTATACATATATGTATATATGTTTTACAATTTTCCAAATTTTCCACGTGAATATTATAATAATTTATTTACAGGTAATTTTGCGTCATAAAAAAATATTGAGAAANCCTTTTTTCTTTGGCGTCGCTTGCTTGTTTCATATAGGATGATTACTATTCTAATTCTCCGCGTCTGTCGGCTGTTCGACAAATTTTTCAAGTATGCCGAACGAACTGAAATTATTTTAAGACTTAAGACTAAAAAAGCAATCTCGTCTTTTCAATGGAAAACAATAGATCAGGGCATAAAAACGGTAAGGAACGATGTCTCTCTCGAAATATTAGAGATCAGACTTATTAAAAGCACGATTCATCTTCTTGGATGTTGGATGATCTCTGTTTTAATTTCGCGCGTTTTTCGACTGCTAATGAAATCGTTAGGACGTTCTAGACCGGTTAAAATTACTTTGGGAATTAGTATTACTATTAGTATATATTAGTATATATTAATTATATATATATTAGTTAATTAATTATATATATATATATATATATATATATATATATATATATATTAATTATCTATATTAGTATATATTAAAATTACTTTGGGAATTATTATATTACAGGTAACTTAAATTAATTTTCGCACCGAAAACGACGATCGCCCTAGAATCACTGTTCACTTTTCTTCCGCATTCTTTGCTCTCAATTTCTATTTTAATATCACGGTTTCCGACTGTCAATCAAATTTACGAGATCTTGTAACACCATCTAACGTTACTTTAGCAACTAGGTCTAACAAGGAAACATTAGGTAGATCGAATTAAACGAAGTAACTGTTGTAATACTGTGAGTTCTGTCTTTTTCGGTTTGTGAGTTAAAGAAATAAAGTTGTGATCGACACGGATGTGGTTGATCAGTTAACTGTAATAAACGTTATCGAAAATAGTGTCTTAAAATGAGGTAAAAATTATTTTTGAAACTTTTTTCTAAATTGCGTTATCATTAATTGATTTGCTTTAATTATGGAATATTAATGGAAATATTATTTGAAGTACTTATTTGATTCAAGTGTAAAAGTTACATAATACGTATTTATATATACATGTTTAAATATATGTATGATCATGTATACATATATGTATATATGTTTTACAATTTTCCAAATTTTCCACGTGAATATTATAATAATTTATTTACAGGTAATTTTGCGTCATAAAAAAATATTGAGAAAAAAATTGATGGTTTAAAAATAATAAATAATATTTAACTGTTCAACTTTTTTATCGTAAATGAATCTTACCTTTCAGAAACCTTTAATTTCCATTTCTTACTTCGACGAATAATTTTTCCATTTTCCTCTGTCGTACACATTATTTGTATTGATCGTTTGTAATTGAATGATAACCAGTTCTTCGTAGCTCATAATTTTATGTAATCCTTCTTTATGTATTGGAATGTAATCACAGGCTAATAAGTTCTTCAATCAGGTTTATTCTTTCGTCATAGACGTGAGCAAGATAAAATGATTTGACTTCTTGGCATTTTTTTGCAGATAAATTTACGTTTCATTAATTTTGCTCTTTAATCCGCCAGATTACAATAGCATTGTTTAAGACTCTTGAAACTATCGATTGTATTGTATCGATTGTAGCAGACAATTGCATCAGCCACATATTAGAACATATTGTGCCCTGTTTCTCAATGTTTCCAAGTATTTGTTTGTCGACACCTTATCACTTTTCTTCATGTTGCACATATTTTTACACGACATTGGGAAACTATCTTATCATCTGCCGAGTAGCTCACGGTTTTTTTTGTCGATACTATCGATAAACCTTCGACATGGTACTCGAAGACATCACTTTTAGCTTTCTTTAGTATCATGAATACGTCGGTATTCTGCCACCTCCTCCGCTGAATTTATCCATTGTAATTTACAATTCTTGCTTGACAACCCACTTTACATACTTTACGATTCTTTGCGATGCTCTATACTTTGTTCCAAACAAGAATAAAATTTTATCAATAAGTATGCACTGTGCTGAGCAGATATGTTCAATGAATATACCGTGGTTTTTATAGTTTTTTTTTAACAAAACTAGGTTGATGAAATCCAAAATAGCGGAATCATTTAAAAAATTTAAAACTACTGTTTTGTTTTTTCAACTTATCAACTGTTTTGCAATCAATACTCACTATTTTTATTTTTCATAAAGATTCACAGTATAGCGTTTATCAGGCTAAAGATCTTAGTTCAAACGGTTAAATATTGATAACAGGAAAACACAATTTTGCTACAACGTGAAAGAAATGAGTAGCATTTTATAAATTCCGTTCGAAATCTTCGTCGTGAGTCTGACTCAATTTGATAATGCAACGGTTTAACCATTAATTACTATGGACATTGAAACTTGCATAATTATTATGGAAGGTCTCACGGATTAATAATGTTTATTGCGTTATTACATGCGCACGAATTGCAAATAAAGATTGATTGGAATTGTTTCTGCATCGTACGTTAATAATTGAACATCAGTCATAACAATGGATGTTTTTATATCAATTACGACTTCATTTCGGCATCGATTTATATTTTCTTTTTAAATAATCTCGACAATTCTCTGCGCAGAATTTTATAAAATATGAGTTATATTTAAATAGAAGTATGATTATCATTACACGTTTTACAGTTTACTAGATACTGGCTTGATTAGAACCATAGATTATGCGTACACGTTACACATTAAATCATGTCCAACTGTCACAGTTAACCACAGATTACATGCATACGTTATACGCGACCATTACACACGTAGAATATAAAGTAACACTTTTTATCATCGGACGTAATATGCAAAATAATTTTTTGTTGTAGACACCAAGTACACGTGACAGAGGAAAATTACATTTAAGAAAGCAAACGCTTGGAAAATTTCCAGTTTATAATAATACATTTATTTAGGGTTGATTATATTTATTTAACGGGCTATATTTATTTACAGTTGACAGCAAGGCATGCTGGTCAAAATCAGATTGGATAAATACCAACAAATAACAAGGAAAACATAATCGATTCGGGTTATAG